TGAGCTCAGCACTGGACCTGTAGGCCTGGTTGCTGATGTGACCTGTATTCAAGTTACCTGTTCCCTTGGTACACGTTAACCGCCCTGTACATACCTTTCATTTAAACCCCTGTACACGCGTCGGTCACTGATGGCCGAGACGAGAACATGTTTCTTCTGCAGGAAAAACCCAGTGGCCCCGGGAGCCCGCAGGGCCTCGTGTGTGCGGGGCACTGGCCTGTGGGAGCTGCCCTTTCCAGGAGCTCTGAGTGTGGCACGCGCCCTGCCCGTTACCGCGGGTCCGAGCGGGGGGCCCACTTTCCTTTCTTAGTTGATGTTCCTGCCAGAACTCCTGGCTGTTACTTGCCTTGAGTTGGAAAATGGTCTGCATTTCCACCTGTAAATCTTCGTCCTTTTAATTTATGTAAGGTTTTTGTATGCGATTCTTTCAGAAATGACAAATTTTGGTTTTCTACTGTCATGTGAGAACATTAGGCCCCAGCAACACGTCATTGTGAGGAAAATAAAAGTGCTGCAGTAAGAAGTGCCGCCTGCCTCCTTTCTCCCCGCCAGCCCGGCAGTCAGTCTGTCCGGTCCTGGGTGCGCCCTGTGTCCTGGGTGCTGGCTGCACTGGGTCGGCCCCAGGGGTGGGGGGGTGGGGGGGTGCAGGTTCTGCCTTCAGGCCCAGGGGGTTGAGTGGTGGGTGTGGCTGGCAGGCTGGGCTCAGTGCTGGGTCAGGGAGGTGGGAAAGCTCAAGAATTTGGAGGTTTCAAGTGAAGGTGGCTGGGTGGGGAGCTGCCCCGCAGGCCTGGTTTCCAGCCGCCCCCCGCCCCCGCCCTTGGTGGGAGGGTGTGGAGAGTCCCCCAGCTCAGGCTCCCCTCTGCCCTGGACTGAGCCAGGGTGTGTGCAGGGGGCCCTGTCTCCACCCTTCCCTGCGCTGGGGCTGGCGGGTGTGTCCACAGGGACCTTGGACTCTGAGTCAGTGAGGCCTCCGCGTGCTGCCCGCACATGTAGGGGTCACACAGCCCTCCCCCCACTTGTGTGGTAGCAGGAAGACACTGGCCCTTCCTGTGGCTCCTGGGACAGTCAGCAGATGTCACAGCCAATCACTGCGTGGTGGGCGCCGTGCCAGGCGCTGCTCCAGGCCTCACCTGGCCCTGGGCCTGTGGCCGCCAAAGGCTTTGCTGCCAGGAGGAGGCCCCGCAGTGACCCCTGGAGCCCAGCCCTGCAGGAAACCTCACCCATCCCAGCAGCTCAGCCCTGTCAGAAACGCTGAGCCTGGACCAGGAGGTGGGGCGTGGCTCGGGGGTTGGGTATTGACCCCTGAACCAGGAGGTCAGAGTTCAATTCCGTCAGGGCATCTGCCTGGTTACGGGCTGATCCCCAGTGGGGGGCGTGCGGGAGGCAGCTGATCCATGATTCTCATCATGGAGGTTTCTATCTCCCTCTCCCATCCTCTCTGAAATCAACAAAAACATTAAAAAAACAAAAAAGACCAGCCGGAGCCACCATGACTTGGAAACAACTTGCTCACGACCTGGGTCCTGTGGCCGCTCCTCTGCTGGGCGCAGCCCCCACAGCCACGCGGGAAACCGGTTTGGGCCTCAGACGAAGAACCGAAGGTCAAGAAACGGGAAACTGTGGCCAAGTGACAGGAAAGCAGACCGACAGCGTACGCAGACGAGACCTCAGAGGCTGCCAGCGTCACAAATTCCCCTTAGCTTAGCCCACGGAAGCTTCCGGAAGCCGTGCCTCTGCTGAGCTGTGCCTGTCCTGGGTACTGGGGTCTCTACCTCCCCCACGGCCACCAGCCATCCCCATGGTGGGGTGAGTGAGGGTCACTCGGCCAGCAGCCCACCAACAGGCAGCTGGCGCCCCTGGCGAGGGGGGCAGTGTTCAGAGGTGCAGCTCCGACTCCCCCCACCTTTCCCGGGGGCTTCTCTCCCTTTCAGCTCCTGCTGGAGCCCTCCAGGGAGACCACCATGGGGCACGGTGGGTTGGCCCTGGGACTCGGTTTAGACCAGGAAGTAGGAGGGGACCGTGCCTTCCCTCTGCCCAGGGACCACACTGTTCAAGACGGGCTCAGCCCTCCGGCCAGGGGCATCAGTGCAGGCTGGGCAGATGCGGCCTGAGCAAGAAGGAAACCCCGCTGGCCGCTGGCTCGACCTAGGAACCAGGAGGTCAGGGGTCGATTCCCGGGCAGGGCACAGGCCCCCGGTGGGAGGTGTGCAGGAGGCAGCCCATCCATGGTTCTCTCTCTTCATCGATGTTTCTATCTCTCTCTTCCTCTCTGAAATCAGTAAAAATATTTAAAAACATAAAACGAAAAAAACAACGCATCACGTCTGCCGGCAAAGGGCCGCGGAGAAGACGGGCAGATGGAGGAAGGAGGCTCGTGTCCACCCAGGTCAGGCCGTGGCCCGTGGTAACCGCTTCATTTTCCCTGCGCTCCGTGCTCCGGAGTTCACACCGCTTTCTTCTTCCTCCCTCCCCCCTCCCTCCCTGCCTTCCTTTCTTCTCTTCTCAATCTTATTTCAGAACAGTTAGGTTTCTGGAAAAGTTGCAAAGATGGTGCACAGAGTCCCATAAAGCCGGGCTCCCAGGCCTCCCGGCCACCCCCAGAGCAGGTGCCGCGGTTACAGCTCCCGGGCCGATGTGGACGATGTGGACCACCGCACCCGCACTTCCTTTCCGCAGCTTTAACCTTTGCTCCTTTTCTGCTCCAGAGTCTCTGCAGGCCCCTCAGGCTGTGGCCGCCTCTCCCTGCCCTGGTCCGGGGTGACCTTGACAGTGCCGAGGGCTGGGCGGGGAGGTGCAGACTGGCCCTCTGCTGGGTCTGTGTGACCTTTGTTTCTCTCGTCATCTGGCCTCCTGGGTTCGGGGGAGGAAAACCAGGAAGGCAAAGTGCCCGGCTCATCGGTCAGGTCAAGGGTCACGCTCTCAGCCTGACTCCTGGGGCAGCGCCTCGGTCACCTGGCTCGGGGTGTCTCCCCGGTGTCTCCACGGCCGAGTTTCTAGAAGCAGGTTCTACAGGCGGGATCACACCTGTGAATCGGAAACGCGTTCCTTTCTCTCCTGTATCTGCCTTTGACGTCGGCCTCGGGTTGGCCTGGTACCGGCGTCTCGGGCGCGGCTGGAAGGCCGGCAGCCTGGCGTGCAATGCGGCGGGTGTGGTGCTTCCAGGCTCCTTCTCAGGGTCAGGGCGTGTCCTTCTGTTTCTATTTTGCTGAGAGTTTTTTTAAAAATCATAAATGGGTGTCAAATGTTGTCACATTTTTGTCTGCATCATTGAGAAGATCGTGTGTGTTTTCCTGTTGCTTCTTTTCTTTAAATTGATTTTTACTAAATATGTTTTTATTGATTTTTAGATAGAGAGGGAGGGAGAGGGTGGCTCAGTGGATGGAGCGTCGGCTTGCAGACCGAAGGGTCCCGGGTTTGATTCCGGTCGAGGGCAGGCACCTCGGTTGCAGGCTCCTCCCCAGCCCGGGCCCTGGTCGGGACGTGTGCAGGAGGCAACCCATCGATGTGTTCCTCTCACATTGATGTTTCTCTCTGTCTTTCCCTCTCTCTTCCACTCTCTCTAAAAACAGATCAATAGAAAAATATCCTCGGGTGAGGATTAAAAAATAATAATAAATAAATTTCACTAAAAGCCTGCAGGGGCCTCTCTGTGGCCGGCTGGGCTTGTCCTCTGCATGGCGCCTCCACCGGGCCTCGGCCTCCCCACAGGCTCGGCTCCGCTCAGGCCCCCTGTGCTGTGCCCCGTCCGGGAAGGGCCTCCCCACAGGAAGCAGGGTGCCCGCAGGGCTCAGGGCCGGGCGGCCTGTGGTCCGCAGTCTAAGCAAGTGGCTTGGTGTTTTCCTTCCTGTTTCCCGTTGCTACGGCTGGCGGGCCACTCCATCTCTTTATGGCCAGAGGCGGATGTCCCTCTGTCCTGTGTTGACACACGTTTACACGTAAAGGATATGATTGATCTGAGGTTTTTTTTTAATCAACATGTTAGTGACATATTTCCACGTGAATACAGTCAATCACGGGCCACAGAATAGTATTTGGGTCAATGACAAATCGCAGACACAGCTGCGGGGTCCATAGATGGTAATGAAGCTGAAGCAAGCTTCTCGCCTGGTGACATCACCGCCACCGTGAGCCGTAGTCACGTGTGGCCACGAGAAACGACTCACGTGGATCCTTCCCATCTCCCGGCGTCCGCACAGCGCAGGCTGCCCAGGTTGGGGCCCAGAACCGAAGGGGAAACACACCCAGACGCATCTCTGGCACAAGGACGGCTGTAGGTCAGTGGTTGGCAAACCGCGGCTCGCGAGCCACATGCGGCTCTTTGGCCCCTTGAGTGTGGCTCTTCCACAAAAGACCACGTGCGGGTGCGCACGTACAGTGTGATTGAAACTTCGTGGCCCATGCGCAGAAGTCGGTTTTCGGCCTGGGCGAGTCTGTTTTGAAGAAGTGGCGTTAGAAGAGGTTTTCGGCCTGGGCGAGTCTGTTTTGAAGAAGTGGCGTTAGAAGAAGTGGGGGGTGTCGGTCGGCAGCCGGCCACGGGATACGCAGCGCGGGGAGGCGCGGGCGATTCATGCGGGAGGTGAGAGAGCCAGTCAGTCAGTAGCTCATGTGCAGTGGTCAGTGCTAGTCGTGTCCGCACATCGCGGGCGGGTGACAAAAGTACCTACTCGAAGCATACAGTTACCTGTATTTTTCCAACCGGCTGCAAATCCTACAGGTATTTTTGTCATCAATTTAAGAATCGTCATTATTTTGTGTGGGTGGCTTTATTATAAAATGGGGACGTTTTTAGCAAAGGCCAGCTTAGGAGTACCCTGATTAAGTTAATAACAATGTACCTACCTATATAGTTTAAGTTTAAAAAATGTGGCTCTCAAAAGGAATTTCAATCGTTGTGCTGTTGATATTTGGCTCTGCTGACCGATGAGTTTGCCGACCACTGCGCCATCTGCCGGGGGCCCGCCCAGCAGGAAGAGGGGTGACCTCACCCTGCCAGCTCTTCTCCTGAGGAAGGAAGACTGAAACCTGCAGGATGACCTGGCCCCATCGATGTGCTTCTCCTGGCTCTCCCCTCCGCCCCGCCCCCACAGCGGACTCCCCAGGCCCAGCACCTCCCTCTTCCGCAGCGGACGCTGGCGTTTAGGGGGCGGCTTCAGCCGTTTGGGCAAGTTTCTGTTGGCTGGGTCCCTGCCAGCTATTCCCAGCTCCCCAGGAGTACCTGTTACTTTTGTTTTTTTAAAAAATCCTCATCTGAGGATATGTCTCCATTGGTTTTTTAAAAATATTTTGTTATTGATTTCAGAGAGGAAGGGAGAGGGAGAGGGAGAGAGAGAAACATCAATGATGAGAGAGAATCATTGACCGGCTGCCTCCTGCACACCCCCTACTGGGAATCGAGCCGCCCGCAACCGGGCATGCGCCCTGACGGGGAATCGAACCCAGGACCCTTCAGTCCTCAGGCTGACGTTCTGTCCACTGAGCCAAACCAATGAGGGCTCCATTAATTCTTAACGATTTTTTTAGAGAGCGTGGAAGGGAGGAGGGAGAGAGAATCATTGATGTGAGAGACACACATCGATGGGTTGCCTCCCACATGTGCCCTGACCCAGGCCCGGGGATCAAACCTGCAACCGAGGTACGTGCCCTTGACAGGGAATCGAACCCAGGACCCTTGGGTCCATGGGCCAACGCTCTAGCCACTGAGCAACCTGCCAGGCTGTTTTTACTCCTGCTGCTCTGTCCTTCATTTCGGCGTCTCCGCCCGGAACCCGAAGGGCAGAGGGAACGGCACCCCCTCCTCTGCCGAGTGGCGGGCCTGGTGTGCGGCCTTGGGCACAGTGACATTGGCAATGACGCCCGTCTCCTGGAGGGGCCCTGCTCTGCCTGCTGCTTCCTCTCCGGGCGCTGCTTGTGGGCACGGCCAGCCGGGGTGGGCCTGGCTCAGGAGGCCTCGGTTCCCAGGCGGGTGGGGAAGTGAGAGCCGCAGCTCTTACAACCTAATCTCCGAAGTGCCCTGGCTCTGCCCTATGGCATTGGTCCCACTGCCCGTACGCGGTGGGAGGGACCCCAGCATGGGATGGGGGGGGCGCTGGCCGCCTCGGAGGTGCCCACAGCATCGGTGGTGTGACTGCCCAGCTGTGTTCATTTAGAGGCTGGTGGCCAGTGTGTTACTGGGGACCTCGGGTCCACCCGGAGCAGGTGAGGCCACACCTGGGGGCGTGGCTGTTCTGCGGGGGCTCCTGGACCCTCCTCCAGGGCCTGCGGCTCAGCGGGCTGGGCTGGGCTGGGCTTGGGCCCCTCCCCTTCACAAGGACATTTTCTTCTGTTGACCACATTCCACTCGCTGTGACCTCTCTCCCCTCCGGCCCCTCCCAGGATCCGGACCTGCAGGGAGAATTCTCCGCCAGGAAAAGCGGCCTCTGACTCCCTCGCCCTGGGCGCTGGCGCCAGATGACCTCATACATTCATAGTCCCTCCCTCCCCACTTTGGCCTTGGGGTTTCTCCTTCCGAGACCCTAACACAGGCACAATCCCCATGGCTACTCCTCCTGTTCCTTTCTATTGTTGATAAAATAAACACCCGATTTTTAGGGAAAGACAGAGAGAAATACTGATGTGAGAGAGACACATCGATGGGTTGCCTCCTGCACGAGCCCCGACCAGGGCCCAGGCTGGGGAGGAGCCTGCAACCGAGGTCCGTGCCCTTGACCAGAATCGAACCCTGGACCCTTCCGTCCACAGGCCGACGCTCCATCCACTGAGCCAAACCGGCCGGGGCTCCCATTGATTTTGCTGAAAAGACTTCTTTTCTGCACAGAAGTCTCTGCATGAGGCTCACAGAACTTGCCTTTACGGGCAATTCAGGCAAAGGAATCACCCTCATGGTCCCCACCGCCCTGCCCCACGGGGAGTTCAGCGCCACCCCTGCCCTGGCCCAGCCCTCTGTCCCCGGGAGGCATGGACAAAGGGCCCGGGGCCAGGGCTGTCACCTGCGGGGGCCTGGACTGCTGGGTGTCCCCGGCTGCGGGCCAATGAGCCAGCCGCCAGGGACAGCCTCCACTCTGACGCCATCGCACAGGCACGGCCGGACAGGGCCTGCGGCCGGGGTGGGGGCATCACCCTCCGTGGGAGCACTTCCTCCGCGCTCTGCTCCACGCGGCTCCCGTGGAGACCCCCCCTCCCCACACACACACGGTCCTGCCCGTTTTTAAAGAGAAATGAACGCATCAGGCAGTGCGGCGGGTGGGGGAGGGGAGCTGTGATGCACTGGCTCTTGGACAAGCGTTTCAGGGCTGTGTCTGCTGCCTCCCTCCCACTGCCCGGTGCCCCTGGGCCCCGCCCGCCACTGAGGGCCCGAGTGGAGCCACCCCAACCCGGCACCCGCCCGCCAGGCCCGCTGCTGTTTCCGAAGCATCAGATGCAAACTGCACGGGGAGAGACCGCGAGGGGCAAGGGCAGCAGGAGGGCCCGTGCTGGTGGGGAGGCCCCTGCACCCTCGTGTGGGGCTCTCTGGGGCGGCTGAGGCACTGCAGCCGAGGGCCCCACCTCCGACTCCTCATGAAGCTGCCGGGGCCTGGGGGGCCTGCCTCCCGCCAACACCTGCACGTGTGGAAACCTGGGGGGCTGGGCCCATCCCGGCGTCCGATCGCTGTCTGCTTTCCCACTCAAGGGCTGCTGTCCTCGCCGATCCGGGCGAATGCACCGTTTCCTTGTGTGTGTGACACAGGAGCTCCGTGCCCGCAGCACTCGCCCGGCTCTGGTGCGGGACTAGAGGGTCGCCCTGCTCTGAAAGGGCCCACAGAGTTACGGTCGCGACTTCATGGTCAACAGACACTGAG